GTTTGTCTCCCAGGTCTGACTGGTGGTGTCCGCCCTTTTCCGCTGGCCATGCAGCATGTCTATTCATCTCCCAAGTCTGTCACTGCTGGTGTCCGTCCTTGTCCGTTGGCCATGCAGCATTTCTATTCATGTGTCTCCCAGGCCTGTCACTGGTGGTGTCCGCCTTTTTCCGCTGGCCATGTAGCATTTCTATTCACTTGTCTCCGAGGTCTGTCACTGCTGGTGTCCGCCCTTTTGAGCTGGCGATGCAACATTTCTATTTCTTTGTTTCCTCATTTGTTTCCCGTGTCTGTGACTGGTGCTGCCGCCCTTTTCCGCTGGCCATGTAGCATTTCTATTCATTTGTCTCCCATGTGATTTCTTTCTTTTTGCTGCGCTGGTGTTTTCTGCCCTGTCCGCTGGAACAGGTTCACCTGTGAAAGGTTCTTGCTCCTTTGAAAGGGGTGCGTGATTGTCTCCGGGATTGCACTCCTGCCACACTGTGTAACTCTCTCAGCTTTGTTTTCCTTTTCGGGCAAGCGTTGGATGAATGACCGGATTGGATTTCGGCGTTCAGTTGGGACGGAGGGCATACGTCAGGCACCAAAAACCAGTTTCATGTCACGTCCTTCGCTCCTCATGCTTTTATTTCTTGTCCGCACGTGGTCAGCTCCCCGCTGATTGAGCAGCATGACCAGCATCATGTTCGCGCTTGAAGAATAATTCCCCAAAAGGTTTGCTGTTGGGGCTTGTCAATTCTTTCTTAAGATGTGTCCGCCCGCTCTGTACGCAATCCTTTGTCTCCCAGCTCTGGGCGTCGCAAGCTCTAGTTTCGATTTGAAAAGCGCAAGCTGTTTGGGGTCTACGGTGGTGTAATTTTCCTTCGATGTAGGTGGTGATGTTCCGACACGGTTCCAGCTGTAGAAAGGATTCTTTTGCATCGAAGTGGGATCCGCCGTGGCTCTTTCCTCTCAGCATCCATAAGGCCATCGCTACTAGGTTGCAGGCCATCGCTAGTAGCAACAAGGGCATCGCTATTAGCAAGAACACTACTAGTAGCAAGGACGCTACTGGGGGCGCTCCTGGCCGCTAGTATGACTTCCATGTGACACCGACCGAGTCCCCGACGTTGGTTTTGTCGGACATCGTGGTGGACTCCAACCACCCGTTCCTACCTTTGCACGGGACCTCGGTCACGGAACATCGAAGGTTCTTCGGTCGGTTCCGGTTCGTTGAAATCGCCATGTTTGGACCCATGTTTTCTAGTAACAAAGGGCATTACTATTAGGGTCGCTCCTGGCCTTACTAGGAACAAGAAAGCTAATTACTAGGAGCAAAGGGCATTTCTACTAGGAACAAGGACGCTACGAGCGTAGCTTCTTTGACGTTCTTTGATTTTTGTCTTTTCGTTGACCCACTCCGCAGCTCCGTTCTTGGTTCGAGCCAGACAAACACAGCGCATCAGGCAGACAATCAGTCGAGATATAGACGATGGATTTAGTAATTATAGATAGTTAGTCTGACATGATTTGATATGATGATGCTACTTGCGTCTGACTTGCATTTGTTACATCCACAGTGAACGAACTTTCACACCTTTTTTCTCCAGAGACTAAAGTGGACAGCGTATCCTCAGTCCTCAATCCCGAGCTTATGGAGGTAATGGAGGTGCAAAGAACATGTGGAGACCATTTGAGCATGAGCTATTTGGTTCAACTATGTTCAACTCCAAGCATCATGAACCCTAACTTTTAGTGATTTTGACCCCTTCCTCCCACATGGGGTGAAGAGCCTCTATCCATGAAACCACGCGCGGATGCAGTGGTGAAAGCGATTAAAGAGGCCCAGGAAGCCAAGACGAACGGCTACAAGCAGGCGGCCGCGGCTTTCGCTGTTTCTTTTCTGATGGGGGTTTTGAATGTCTACTAGGAGCAATGTTCGCTACTAGGGGCTCCTGGCCATACTACTAGGAGCAATGTTCGCTACTAGGAACAAAGGGCTAATGGGTGGTGAACGCTCTGTTTGGGCAGGGACACATCGACCCCCAAAGCCATGAAGTGTTTGGATCGACCCCAGGCGTTGCTGGAGATTCGTGGTGGCCGGAAGTCGAGCCATTGGATTTGGTACGTGTGGCCCTCTTTGGCCTCTGTGCGAAAGACCACCCGGCCGCAGCTGCTTGACTTTGCAGGGTGTTGATGTGGCGCTTGGTTGGTGTTGTGTCTGTGTTGAGTTTTGCTGGATGGAGAGGCCTTTCCTGCACTGGCTTGTGATGCTTACTCACCCATGACTAGGGCAGTCAACAAAATACTGTGCAGGCCTTTGCTGGCTAGCTGCCCTGCTTTCCTGTGCTGTCACCAAGGTACTCGTTGCGTGATGTCCGCGATGCGAAAGCTTTGATCAGAGACCCTTTGCTCCGGGAGCGATTGAAGGAGATCACTGGGGTGGCTGAAAGACACCTCGCCAGTGGTACGAAGCCAGAGATTCTCTTTGGCTCTCGGGTCGATGTGGAGAAGTTCCATGAATGTGCCAGTCTCAGGGACGCGACGAACATAACAAAGGGCATCGCTTTCTACTAGGAACAAGAAGCTACGAACGAACGTAGGTCGTGGCATTAGTACTGGTAACAAGGACGCATATGCCTCCGAACAGAATGCCGAGAATGAGCGTGTGCGGAAGTTCACGCACGTAGAGCATCAATGCTTCAAGCCCCGCTGGCCAAAGCACGAAAAATCAATAATTCAGTGGATTTGGTATGTTTTGGTTTTATTCCACCGAGGTGCCACCTGCTTTGCCCTGGTGGCACTGAAGGTGAGGGACCTGGAGCTGGCGCAGGTCATGATTGATGCCTTAGTCGCGCTTCACGGAGGTGCCTTGGAGCCAACGACCGTGAAGTATCTCACTGAGGAGGGCGACCTGGCAGAGTTCGCCAAGGTGGGATTGCTCTCCAACCAGAAAGGCATAAAAAAAATAAAAGTAACTAGAAGGTACTAGGTGGAGGCCATCGCTAGTAGGTTCGAGGCCATCACTACTAGCAACAATAAAGCTTTCTTCCAACCGGGTAGCGATGGCCTCCAACGTACTAGCAATGGCCTCCAACCTACAAGCGATGGCATCCAACCTAGTAGCAATGGCCTCCAACCTAATAGCAATGACCTCAAACCTGATAGCAATGGCCTCCAACCTATTAGCAATGGCCTCCAACCTAGAAGCGATGGCCTCCAACCTAGTAGCAATGGCCTCAAACCTAATAGCAATGGCATCCAACCTAGAAGCGATGGCCTCCAACCTAGTAGCGATGGCCTCCAACCTGAAAGCGATGGCCTCCAACCTAGTAGCAATGGCCTCCAACCTAATAGCAACGGCCTCGAACCTAATAGCAATGGCCTCCAACCTAGAAGCGATGGCCTCCAACCTAATATATAGCAATGGCCTCCAACCTAATAGCCATGGCCTCAAACCTAGAAGC